AAGACACCAGTAGTAAGGCAATTGAAGTCTAATTGACAAATAGAATTGCATCAAGCTTGCAGCTTCTGCACTGCAAACGAAACACTCAGCAAAGTGAAGAAGAAACAAAATGGAAGAAAATATTTGTGAACTATGCAACTAATAAGGATTAATATCAGACTATATAAAAAGCTGAAGAAACTCAACAACCACAAAACAAACAATACAGTTAAGAAATGGGCAAAGGACTTGAAGAGGCATTTCTCAAGAGAGGAAATTCAAATGACCAACAGACACATGAAAAAAAAATGCTCAGAATCACTAACCATCTGGGAAATGCAAATCAAAAGCACAATGAGTCTTTACCTCACCCCAGTTAGAATGGCTCTCATACATATCGATAAACAATAAATGCTGGCAAGGATATGGGGGAGATTATCCTCCCTGTGGCTTAGCAGGTAAAGCCGATTTCTGCATTGCTGGCATCCCATATGGGCGCTGGTTCAAGTCCAGCTGCTCCACTTCTGATCCAGCTCTCTGCTATGGCCTGGGAAAGCAGTACAAGATGGCCCAAGTCCTTGGGTCCCTGCAACCACTTGGGAGACCCAAAAAAAGCTCCTGGCTCCTGGCTTCGGATCAGTAGAGCTCTAATCATTGTGGCCATTTGGGGAGTGAACCAGTGGATAGCAGCCTCTCTCTCTCTCTCTCTCTCTCTCTCTCTCTCTGCCTCACCTTCTCTCTCTGTGTAACTGACTTTCAAATAAATAAATAAATTTTTTTTTATAAAAAAAAGGATATGGGGGAAAAGGTAGCCTTATCCACTATTGGAGGGAATGTAAACTTAAACAGCCACTGTGGAAGACAGAATGGACATACCACAGAAATCAAATATAGACCTAGCATATGACCCAGCCATTCCACTCCTGAGAATATACCCAAAGGAAATGCAATCAACATATGAAAGAGTTATCTATAACCCATGTTTATAGCAGCTCAATTTGCAGTAGCTAAGACATAGAATCAGCCCATGTTTCCATCAACTGAAGACTAGTTTTAAGAAATTATGGTATAGGACGGCGCTGCAGCTCAATAGGCTAATCCTCTGCCTTGCAGCGCTGGCACACCAGGTTGTAGTCCTGGTCAGGGCTCCAGATTCTGTCCCAGTTGCTCCTCTTCCAGTCCAGCTCTCTGCTGTGGCCAGGGAGTGCAGTGGAGGATGGCCCAAGTACTTGGGCCCTGCACCCCATGGGAGACCAGGATAAGCACCTGGCTCCTGCCTTTGGATCAGCGCAGTGTGCCAGCCGCAGTGGCCATTTGAGGGTGCACCAACGGCAAAAGGAAGACCTTTCTCTCTGTCTCTCTCTCTCACTGTCCACTCTGCCTGTCAAAAAAATTATGGTATATATACATTATGGAATACTACTCTATTATAAAAAGAAATGAAATTCTTAAGGGCTTATTCTGAGGCCAGAGTGCTGTTGAGGACATCTGCCATTCTATGAGTTTGCTGTGTATCCCGCTTCCCATGTTGGATCATTCTCTCCCTTTTTTATTCTATCAGTTAGTATTAGCAGACACTAGTCTTGTTTGTGTGATCCCTTTGACTCTTAGACCTATCATTATGATCAATTGTGAACTGAAATTAATCAATTGGACTAGTGAGATGGCATCGGTACATGCCACGTTGATGGGATTGAATTGGAACCCCCTGGCATGTTTCTAATTCTACTGTTTAGGGCAAGTCTGATTGTCTAAATAAGATCGGAGTTGGTGAACTCAAAAGGCTTTCCATAGCCTTGGCAACTCATGACAAGAGCCTAGGGTGATTACTGACACCATAAACAAGAGTGTCAATTGTTAAGTCAACAAAATGAGTTGTTGTGCACTTACTCCCCATGTAGGATCTCTGTCCTTAATGTGTTGTACAATGTGAATTAATGCTATAACTAGTACTCAAATAGTACTTTATACTTTGTGTTTCTGTGTGGGTGCAAACTGTTGAAATCTTACTTAATATATACTAAATTGATCTACTGAATATAAAGATAATTGAAAATGAATCTTGTGGACGCCACGGCTCACTAGGCTAATCCTCCACCTGCAGCACCAGCACCCTGGGTTCTAGTTCCGGTTGGGGTGCCAGATTCTGTACCGGTTGCTCCTCTTCCAGTCCAGCTCTCTGCTGTGGCCCAGGAAGGCAGTGGAGGATGGCCCAAGTGCTTGGGCCATACACCTGCATGGGAGACCAGGAGGAAGCACCTGGCTCCTGGCTTCGGATCTGTTCTGCACCTGGCCGCAGAGGCCATTTTGGGGGTGAACCAACGGAAGGAAGACCTTTCTCTCTGTCTCTCTCTCTAACTCTGCCTGTCAAAAAGAAAAAGAAAGGAAAAGAAAAAGAAAATTGAATGGGAGAGGGAGCAGGAGATGGGAGGGTTGCAGGTGGGAGGGAAGTTATAGAGTTATAGGGAGAAAAAGCCACTGTAATCCAAAAGCTGTACTTTGGAAATTTATATTTATTAAATAAAAGTTAAAAAAGGATGCAACTGAAAACCATTATACTTAGTTAAGTAAACCAGTCCCTAAAAGACAAATACCATATATGCTTCATTGTCTGCATTAAAATTAAGATAGCCTAATATATTACCTAAAAGATATTCTATAGAATTGAAATTGACACTGTGAAATTTGATTATTTGCAAAAGCACTTGTCTCAACAGTTGAGGAAGTGTTTATCTTGTACTAGTTGTTGAACTCTTTGCTTAGTGTAGGGTTAATCTTATGAGTATAAAGTTAACTGAAAATAGATCTTCATTAAAAATAAGAATGGGAATAGGAGAGGGGGGAGGATGAAACATGGGAGTGAAGATGGGAGTGAGTCTACAGTGTGAAGAATCACTTTTTCCTAAATTTGTATATAAGAAATGCATAAGTTTCTACACCTTAAATAAAAGGTTTCTAAGTAAAAAAAAGAAAGAAAGAAAGAAAAGCTTACCCTGAAGTTGCTCCTTTAATCATAACACCTCCTATAATTAGAAGCCAATATACTCAATCAAACTTGAAATAGATAAACTAGTTCCCAGTAAGGAAAGGTCCCAGTGAGGGCCCCGGGAGCTCATTCTAGGCAGTAGTGGGGTTCTCATTCTGTGGAGTTGGAAACTATTCCATAAACTGGACCAAATCTTGGATACTTGGGCAAGCAGACGCCAAAGGGTTCTGGAAGGCAGCTGGTAACGTGTGTTCCACAAATTATTTGTGGGATGTTGGTAGGCATTGGTAACATATGTTCCACAGATGCTTCATGGGACATCATGCAGCTTTAGACCCCTTTTTGCCCATTTTAAGGGGGTTGTGTGTGGTGCCGAGTAAAACTGAATAAAGTATTTATCTCCCCCTGATTGTGCTACAAGAGAAATAGTCTCTAAAATGGTATCTGATACCACTGTTTCTTCACACACTGCTAGCAAATATGTTGCTAGAAAATACATTGCTCAAGAGAAAGGAGCACAAGATTTATACACAGGAACAACTACAGTAGGTGTACATGTTCCTAGATGGTGGATGAGAAGCATGACTTCTGAAAGGCTATCTAAACTTTGTGCTTCTTTTAGTGGGTTGCCAGCTTACTACATTAGGAGTCAAACAACTAATGGCAAAATCCATTTCTGTTTAAATCAGACCATTCTGGAGTGGACTAAGGACCTTAATCATCATGATTTCCTGAGTAAAACTCGGGAAACAGATGTGTGATCTGTCTATATGGTTGAAATTTTATTTACTCAATTTATGTTGGTTCCCTTTGTGGTACCCCTTCTAGGGAGTGCACCTCAGTGTCTTGTTATTATCCCCCTGCTGTCACAGGTTCCCTGGAGCACAGGTTCCTCTTCTCCTCCTGGTGCTCATCATCATGGTCCCCTGGTACACTGCATTTTCTCACGAGTATTACCTGTTGGTTTGTAGCCTTCCATCCTGTGTTAAATGGCCCTACTTAACCAGAACTGCAAAAATATAAAAAATCGTATAACTAACCAGATGTTAAAATGTGTGAATCTCACACTGGCACCACATAAATCCACTATGGTGGTGACAATGGTGTCAATTCCCAAGATCTGATCAGTCTCTAAAAACTGAGAGGGGGATCAAAAGGAATGCATTGTTAAGTTAAATTCACTTGTCTCCATGAATTGAGTTTCTTCTTGATGAACTGGAGTCTGACATGGTCTGTGACCAAACTGGACCCTAACCTAAGAGCATTTCTTTCTCTCACAGTAGCCAAATCCCAGGCACACATAACCAGTCTAACTTCACCCTATTAGACCATGTCCAGATATAGCGAATCCCTAGTTGGAGACACAAAGCTGTGTCTGTTCGAGTACTCACTGCTTGAATAGGAGAGTGGAGCTCATCTGAACCCCTCTGTTCTGACCCATAATCATTATTTCTTGGATAACTACTGTTACATTAATTTTGTCCAAAGTTTTTAAAAATACGATGTTATAAAATTTTAAAATAAATGTTAATTTCATTATATAAATTTATTTTAAATAAAAGTAGAAAGAGGACTGATTAATAATTTTTAAACTTTTTTATAGTACCATCTATTACCCACTTTTGGTTCTCTTCATGTATGCACCAAAGTTATTGTCTAGAAATATTTTAGTAGCCTAATATGAATTTTCTTCAACTGACCTACTCTGTGCTGTTAATGGCAAATATAAGTTGTGTGGCCCTAAATAAAAAATCTAAAGTACATCAAAATCAGAATGTTTTTGAGCACTAACTTGATGACAACAGTGTAAAATTCCATAGCATATAATTTTGTTTAAAGCAAAAATTTACTGAAGTATCATGAAGTAATGAGTTAATCCACTGCATGCAATGGCGGCATCACATTTGGATCCTATGAAAACTTATTTCTATGCATTGCTTTAGAAAAGTCAGTAAAGATAAGAAAGGATGTCTGCATTCAGGCTGTCTGATAGAAGTGATGTCGTGAGTGCTGTCTTCTATCTGTCTGCATTCAGAGGCTCAGCTGGGAGGATTTTTCTTCACTCCCCAAAAGGAGGTGTAAACATTGCCTGCAACACAGCCAGAACCCATGGAGAGCAAGACTGAAGCCCACCAGAAGTCTCTCAGGTCAGTAAGGATACATCTGACACCATATCTTTCAAGTAAATAAACACTGAAAACTTTTATTTAAAATGTTGTATGAAATTACAATATTGAAAACAAACTGAAGCTACAGTCAGTGTTTCACTTGCATGGGCTGGAGAAGCCAGGGAGCTGACAACTTGCCCAGACAGGCCTGGGTGGGGAAATGAGCCCGCAGCTGGGGCAGTGCCATCTCACAGGTGTCAGGGAAGTGCACCTGTCCCCATGGGGGCTCCTGTGCTTGACAATCCCACAGGCAGGGCTGAGGTGACAGAACAGTGATGGCCTGGAGGGAGATGAGTTGCTGCCTTCCTTCTTATAACACATCCTGGGCCACAGTTCACAAACTCAGGAACACTCCTCCACTCAGCTGGGTGAGTGTCTGTGTCTCAGATTGTGCACGGGGAGCTCCAGCCCCAGGCAGGGTGGGTGGGAGGAGCAGGCTTTTCCACAGATAAATGCAGTGCTCTCAACAGAGTGATCTCAGAACTCACTAAGCCCCATAACTAGCCAGGGCACTCCCAGTGGAACGTGATCTTCATGACTATTGTAAGCACCTAGATCTATACATTTGTGATGCTATATTTGAATTAGAACTTGCTTAGCAATTTCTGATTTTAATTAGTACAACACAATTATTGGATGCATTTATGTGAAACTTTATCTGTTAAGATACCAAATCAGAATTAATTCAGAATGACTTATCTATAGCTTAAGATTAAAAGTATATCACTATATTCCTAATATTTAAGGACTACTTAAATAGTGATGATGTTATAAATATGAGAACTAGCAAATGATGTGCAGAACATTACATTCATTTTATTTTAATTATTCCTAACACAGAAAAGTTTTTCCTTGCTGCCACAGAACTACCTGGAAGCCTCAATTTCTGCTGCATATCAAATATCAGTAGGCTGCTGCCTGACCACTTTACAAAAGGAGGATGGTACCTCCAGTGTGGCTGCAATATTTCCTTAAATTAATTTAATATGTTGTGTTTGTCCATGTCTATGAACTATAAAATGTTCTGTATGTGATGTATTATTGTATAAAATACAATAATATTGATATGTAAAATGTTCTGTATGTATGTATTATTGATGACATAGTAATTATCTGCAAAATTTCAATGACATATTTTTATTATAAAAACACTCTTTAAATTTAGTATCTCTGGTTATTTCTTAGAAAGTTATAAAAAGAGTTAGCTTAGTAAGATGCATATTCACAATGAGGATGTTACAGCTCACTGCTTAGCATCTGAATCCTGTGGGTGAGCGTCCTCTAGTGTCTATATCTTTAGAATGGAAGCCAGGTTGGAAGCAGGGCCCCACTGAAAACAGAAAGCTGGGACGTGACCATGACAGAGACTGTGCATTGGTGGCTCATAAGGCATCAAAAATCTCAAGAAATTAAATCAGTAGATTTTATTGATTCATTCAATGACTGTTAATTCATTTATTTATGACTGTCCTAGTCATTTGAGTATTTTGTTTTAAATTGCTCTCGTTAAAAGCACCTGCATGTCTTGTGTGGGAGGAGGGTGTCTCCTAGGAGAGGCCCAGGCCCACGTGATGGGTCCCTGGAGAGGGTGATGTGCCCTCCCTTGCCTTCCTAGAGTAGAAGGACACAGTTCATGAGACTCCGATCTTCTTCCTGGGACTCCTAGGGATGCAATGGTAAACTGAAACCCATGGAAAACTGTCGCTCCCCCTCTTCGTGGAGGAATGACACTAAACCCTGCCTAGGCTTCATATCCGAGTCATGGCACCATTATGTCGCTCCCCGTCTTCGTGGAGGAACGACACAGGACCCTGCGCTGTTCTTTTGTCTGCTCGGCCCTCCCCGGGTTTGCTGCTGGTTCTTCCCGGGTTGGCTACCGTCCCTTCCACCTCCGTGGAAGGGCGGTTCCCCCTGCCACCTTCCGCACTTCCGCAGGGGAGTGGCATACCGCCAGCCGGCTCTCTCGGGGGCTGCACAGGTATTCCTTCAGATAGATGTTCCCTTTAGATGTTCCTGGTGCATGTTGTCTCTCTCCTCCTTTATAGTCCTCTTCCACCAATCCCAACTCTGCTACCCACACGCCGAGTACGCTGCTCTCCTCCAATCAGGAGCAGGTCCTACAGTTTATTGGTTGAACTGGAGGCAGCTGTGTAGAAGCTGTTTCCCTTCTCAGCGCCATATTGTGGGAAAGCAGATGCATAGAATAAGTCTTAATTCCAGTAACTTAGTCTAGTCCGAGTTGCTCCCCACAGATCCCCCTTTCTTTTTATTTTTGGCGTTGATACGCGCCTGTCTTCGGTGCCCTGCGGCACACACTCTGCTCTGCTTGCTAGAGTTGCCCACAGGTGCTTACAAGCCCTACCAATCAGGCAAACCGAGTCCGGGTCCTCTCTTCGCCATGTTGTGAGGAGGTTTTTAGGCGCTGATGCGTGCCTGAGTTTGGTGCCCTGCAGCGCATGCTCTGCTCTGCTAGAACTGCCTGCAGGTGCTTACAAGCCCTATCAGGCAAACTGAATCCAAGCCTTCTCATTGCCGTATTGTGGGGAGACTTATTGATGTTGATTCGTGCCTATCTTCGGTGACCTGCAGCTCATACTCTGGTCGAGCTGCCTGCTGGTGCTTATCGCCTAACCAGGCAGACTGAATCCAAGCCTTCTCATTGTGGTATTGTGGGGAGACTTATTGATGTTAATTCGTGCCTGTCTTCGGTGACCTGCAGCGCATAAGCTGCTAGCCGCCCGCAGGTGCTCACCACCTCCCTAATCAGGCAGACCGAATCCAAGCTCTCTCATTGCCATGTTGAGGGGAGGCCTTATTTTTCTCTATTTCTCTATCTCCGGGCATTCCTATCTCTCCTATTTTACTTCTATCTACCAGCATTCCTATTTCTCTCATTTTACTTCTAAACTTCTGTTTCTCTTATCCCAGCGGCTTCCCGGCGCCCGCCCCGAGGCTGCTTCTCGGCGCCTCACCGCCCCGCGGCGGCTTCCCGGCTTTGCGCCGCTTCAGCCTGCGCTTCTCTCATCTGCGCGGCTTCCCAGCGCCCACCCTGTGGCGGGCTCCCGGCTCTGCGCGGCTTGGCTTCCTGTGCTCCGCGGTCTCCACGCCCTTCGCGCCCGCACCACGGCCTTGCGCCAGCCCCGCGTTCCCTATCTATTCACGCCCCGTGCTCTCTCTGCACGCGGCGGCTTCCGCGAATCACACAGCGTAGCTCACATTTCCGCCACCGGTATTCAGTGCAAGTTCCCCGGACTAACCTGGCGAATTCCAACCTGGCGGCCCACGTCTCTGCCTCTGGTTCCAGATTTTCGCCTTTTGCTCCCCGGGCTGACTTGAAGAATTCCAAGCTGGCTTATGTCTCCGCCTCGGCCTGCTCCCGCGGCTTCAATTTCCCTAACATTTTTCTCTACCCGGTATGTTTCCCTAACTTTTCTTCCAACAACAATATTCCCCTCTCATTTCTCCCGGCTTCTCCCCACAGTCCGCATCCGAGTCCAAGCCTCCTCCAGGTTTCACTTTTGCTTTCAATCTCCTAGCTTCCCCGCCATAGTCCGCATCCGAGTCTATGAAAGCTTTCACTTTCGCTTTCAATTCTAACTTCTTTCCCACAGTCCATATCCGAGTCTATGCCTAGGCTTTCAATAGCTTCTTCCGGCACCTTTTCCGTCCGGCTTTCCCCTAGGCTCTTTGCTAGACTCTCTCTCCGGTAATTTCCCACTTCTTCCCATTTCTTCCCTCCTAGGTTTCCTATCCGAGTCACGGCACCATTATGTCGCTCCCCCTCTTCATGGAGGAACGACACTAAACCCTGCCTAGGCTTCATATCCGAGTCACGGCACCATTATGTCGCTCCCCGTCTTCGTGGAGGAACGACACAGGACCCTGCGCTGTTCTTTTGTCTGCTCGGCCCTCCCCGGGTTTGCTGCTGGTTCTTCCCGGGTTGGCTACCGTCCCTTCCACCTCCGTGGAAGGGCGGTTCCCCCTGCCACCTTCCCCACTTCCGCGGGGGAGCGGCACACCGCCGGCCGGCTCTCTCGGGGGTTGCACAGGTATTCCTTCAGATAGATGTTCCCTTTAGATGTTCCTGGTGCATGTTGTCTCTCTCCTCCTTTATAGTCCTCTTCCACCAATCCCAACTCTGCTACCCACACGCCGAGTACGCTGCTCTCCTCCAATCAGGAGCAGGTCCTACAGTTTATTGGTTGAACTGGAGGCAGCTGTGTAGAAGCTGTTTCCCTTCTCAGCGCCATATTGTGGGAAAGCAGATGCATAGAATAAGTCTTAATTCCAGTAACTTAGTTTAGTCCGAGTTGCTCCCCACAGAAAACAGAAGGGTTACATTTTGTTTCTGCCTCGTTTGTGCTGACAGGATGTTAAATGTGCAAAATTTTTAGCCTAGGATTTGTGAAAACTGCTCTGGTGGTTTTCTGTCTCCTATCCTTGCAGTGTCACCTCTCCTGCCCGTTCTTCTCCTTGATGGACAGAGAATAAACTTTCACAAGATTAGAATATTATGCCATTCTGTGATGCAGATTTACACTTACATACATGTCAGGCAGAATGCAAAGAACCGTATTCCTTCCTCTTTGCCATTAAGATAATCCCTTTCAACCTAGGATGCTACTTAAAAATGCCCTTTTCTCCCAAGCTGGCGTTGGAATCACAGCCAACACCCTCCTCCTCCTCTTCCACATCTTCACATTCCGCCAGGATTGCAGGCCTAAGCCCAGCAGCCTGACTGTCTGTCACCTGGCCCTGGTGCACACAGCCATGCTCCTCACCGTGGTGCTCCTGGCATCTCCGGACCTGTTTGAGTCGCTGCATTTCCAGAACGACTTCAAGTGCAAGGCTTTGTACTACACAGGAAGGGTGATGCAGGGCCTCTCCATCTGCACCACCGGGGTGCTGAGCACCATACAAGCCGTCCCAGCACCTCCTGGATGGCAAAGTTCAAACATAAACTTGTGAACTCCATTACTCGTGCCTATGTGTTCACGTGGACGCACACTTTGGTGTCCTCTGGTAACCTGTTCTTCTACATTGTGCCCTTTTCCAATCTGAACCAGACCAATCTGATGATTCTAAATAAATACTGCTCCCTCTCCCCCATGAGCTCCC